TATCAGACTTACTGAAAATTTCCTTGCTCTGTTAAAAATTTTTGGGAAAATAAAAATAATAATAATAATAAAGAGAGGGGGGGGGATGCTGGGTGTGGGGCTAATAATTCTGACTTCAACTGTATATATATATATATATATATATATATATATATATATATATATATATATATATATATATATATATATATACACACTTAAAACAATATTGTACATTATTTTTTATTTGTTTGTCTTTATTTTCAGTTTATGGCTGAGAAAAAATGAGCCAGAAGCCACAAAGAAACAGAATGCCAGTCTTCCACATCGTGAAGAGCTGAAAAGACTAAAAAGAGAGCTGATTCAGAAACTCGGTTTATTAAATATAAGGTATGAACTCTTACATTCTGTAAAATACTTCTCATTCAATCCAGAATTTATTCGTATGCTAATATAGGGTGGTGTGACATTGTGGATACTCAATGCATTATACTAAGGCTAATTCTTCAGTTTACAATGAACTCTGTGGTACTGCTTTATCCATGTTAAAACATGTCTTGAAAAGGGTATATATTTGTTCATCATTCAACTTTCATATATTTTGTCTGATGTGGAATTTATTTAAAATTATAATCGCTTAATCTAAAATTTAAGTAAAATGTAGTAAAATTTAATTGTAGTAATTATTTTAATGAAGATAAAATGTATATAATGTAAATGTATAATAGAGAATGTTTATTATAAATAATGTAAATTTATCATAGAGAAGATTAAGCACAAATTTATTATGGATTTTTTTTTTTTAAGTCAACCAGACAATGCAGCGTTAAACAATGAAAATCTGAATATACAGTACATATTGCCCATATTCTTCACTGCAGAAGTGCGCACTAAAAGTGTATATTTATTGATCAAAATATGCTATTATAATTATGTTTGTATATTACATTTTTAAAATAAACTAATGCTTGAATTGAGCAAAACTGGTCTCAAATGACTTAAAACCATTTAAAATATTGCATATTATTATTATTCACTGCCACATTTTGCAATAAGGTTCATTAGTTAATGTTAGTTCATGTATTTACTAACATGTTTTAATAATGAACAATACTTGTACAGCATTTATTAATCATCGTTTAACATTTACTAATGCCTTGTTAAAATCCAAGTTCATGCTTGTTAACATTAGTTAATCCACTGTGAGTTAGCATGAACTAAGAATGGACTTTATTATCATTAACTAATGTTAACAAAGATGAATAAATACTATAGTACTGTTATAAATAAACTTTACAATGTTTGTTTAGGGTAGTAAATACATTAATTAATGCCTCCTTAAGTGTTACCTTACATTATTATATATGTTTTTAACTGTCTATTCATTGAAGAATTCTGAAAAATAGTGTATTGTAGTTTTAATAGAAATATTCAACATTAACCATTTAAAAAACCGTTGACTAAGCACAAATTTTGTGTATCAGAATTTATGTTTCACATGACACTATATACTGGAGTTTTGCCACCACAGAATTATCGGTCGCACTTTAAAATATTGTTTGATTAGTTAATGTTCGTTAATGTTTTCATGAACATTAATATAACAATAAAAAATACATGTGTAGTATTTATTAATCATGCATCAACATTAGGGCTGCACAATGTATCGTTTCAGCATCGATATTGAATGTGTAAATATGCAAAAGCCACATTGAAGGAGTCAAGATTATAGTTGAACAGGTACAACATTTCAGAACACATGAGAATTTTGGAGTCATTTCAGTTTAACCAAAATCGAGTGAAAGTTGCGTGTGTTTTTAAGGCATGTGTAGGCCCACAAAGAATCTGACCGAGCGGAATCCCGCAGATTTTTAGCCCATTATTGATTCTGTTTATTTACTTGTGTGAATGTGTGTATATTTATTCAGTTTTTAAATTAATTTCAGTAATAATATTGACCAATATGAAAATATTGATATCATCAGTTTACAAAACATTTTGTGAAGTCATATTTTCTGTCTATTAGTAGAGATATTGGGCTGTATTTTGACTGTCCATGCACAGAGCGCAAAACACAGGGCGCAAACGCTTTCAGGGCGTGTCAGAACGCATTTTTGCTAATATAAGGATGGGAAAATCTGCTTTGCGCTGTGGCGCATGGTCTAAAAGGGTTGAGTTTATTTTCTTAGTGAGTTATAGGTGTGTTTTGAGAATAAACCAATTAGAGCCTCATCTCCCATTCCCTTTAAGAGCCAGCTGCGTCGCGCCATAAGGGCATTTTGACGTAAAGTAAGTTCACTTTCGCTTTTGCTCTCGTGGATAGGGAAACCTTTGCACAGACATCAATTAGCCTATAAATAATTAATTTCGTTTGTTAAGCGCAAAGATTTGTTTCAAAACTATTTCTAAATTCAGTTCTAATTTCTAGCAAACGAATAAATGAACAATAATAACAAAGTGTGGTCAAAATACTGAGTTATTTCCAAATACACCTGCTATGCCCCACATGGTCTAAAACCTGACAGGTGAACAAATAAGCTTGTTTTTAATAAAACAAATATAAATATGGATATAATAAACAATACTGCTAATAATAATAAAATTATACAAAAGCAATTTGAATGAACTGGAAAAGCCTCCCGAGATGAAAAGTAGGGTTTTTAAATTCGAGAATATATGTTTGTAATTTTACTAATATCAAATATCCATAAAAAAAAAAGAAGAAAAAAAAAAAAAAAAAAAAAAAAAAAAAAAAAAAAAAAAAAAAAAAAAAAAAAAAAAAAAAAAAAAAATTTTTTTTTTTTTTTTTTTTTTTTTTTTTTTTTTTTTTTTTTTTTT